GAAATTGACTATATGTTGAAAAATGATTCCTTTCCAAGGGAACTTCGAACTGCATCCTCTAGAGGTCGCTATGGGGAATGCCTTCAGTGTGTCGGGTGTCTGAAGAATGCATCTAAACACGACAATAACATTGGTCGGTGACAGCCTATGGCATTATTACCTGGCGCGATCACAGTATAAAGGGCGCCGGGAGAACATGTCATCCTCTTCTTCGTCTTCACTGACCATTTGTTTATCTTAGCGATAAGCTAAGCACGACTAGGAGTGCATGTTCTCTCGTCAGAGGCTTTGCTCTGATACCCGCAGTTTCACAACGGCTTGCGTGTTGTGTGTGTGTGGTGAAGATGGTGAATGTGCTCTGCATTCATCGCTTATTTCTTGTGAGGGATAAGCATGAATTGAACGCGCTCGACTCAAGAGAAGACGGCTTGTGCTCATTGTGATGCATTCGCGGACTGATGCATTCGCGGGACTACTGAGGGGGAGGTGAGTACTTCACCATTTACCCGAGTTTGTATAGCGTTTGCATGAGTGCGTTCGCCCTCTCGTGGGAATAGCGACGCATTCACGGCAGCGGTTTCCGTTCTCGCTTGATTTCCGAGGTAATCTAGCATATAGGCGGAGTGTGTTTTGCTCCCGCGGGAGCTGAATGCATGCTGCGTGTTGCTGTTGCGGTGAGAATTGTCTGCCCATTGCCCGCGATTCGCGGTTGATGGGCAGAACATGGAAAGCATTTGACGGGAAAATTTTCCCTATCAGTGATTTCCTTCTGGTTATATAGGTATTGTATAATGTGGATATCTGTCTGCAGTTGTTGGACAGATGATTTATATTATGTCCTTATCAGATAACCATATTATACTGCACTCCGGGAGCTCATTTCTGCGAGCACCTCCCCTGCTAAAGTCAGAACCTCTCGCTGTTGACCGATTGTGGTGATGGCAGCTCACCCGTCGGTACTGGATGATAGCCCTGCATCTTCGGCTTCATGCTTACTGGACCACGCAGCCAAGTTGCTGGGCCTCTGTGAGAGCCTTTTTAGCCGATCAGGTCCGCAGTTTAACGCAGCAACCTCAGGACCAGCGGGTCCTCCATTCGAGTTGAGCATTTTTCAGAGTATAATGCTTCGTGATGTGCTCCCTGATGGCCTGACTGGGTGTTTGCTTCGAGAAGCTGCCTCAGCCAGGACACGCTACTCATGTCTTGCCCCTAGGGGTCTCTTGAGAGTTGAGTCATCCTCTCAACCACCATGCACGTTCTCTGAGCTAGAGCTCCTCTCGCTGAGGTGTTGAGTGGCCTAACACTCCTTAGTTCCACTTTGCAGTTTGATAGAAGGTCAAGCCCACGGGACCTCCCTGTCACACTGCCCTTATGGTCGAACCGGTGAATCGCCCCTCTGCGGAGTGGGCTTGAGTACACTGCGTTCCCTGAGGTATGAGTGAGATGTGTTTCTGCGGAAACCCTTCCTGGGAGTATAATGCTTCGTGATGTGCTCCCTGATGTCCTGGCTGGGTGTTTGCTTCAAAAAGCTGCCCCAGCCAGGACGCGCTACTCATGTCTCGCCCCGAGGGGTCTCCTGAGATTTGAGTCATCCTCTCAACCACCATGCACGTTCTCTGAGCTAGAGCTCCTCTCGCTGAGGTGTTGAGTGGCCTAACACTCCTTAGTTCCACTTTGCAGTTTGATAGAAGGTCAAGCCCACGGGACCTCCCTGTCACACTGCCCTTATGGTCGAACCGGTGAATCGCCCCTCTGCGGAGTGGGCTTGAGTACACTGCGTTCCCTGAGGTATGAGTGAGATGTGTTTCTGCGGAAACCCTTCCTGAGTGCTTCGGCTCTGAGGAATAGTAGCTCTTCATGCATGAATGGGTTATTGGGTCCCGTTGTTTCTACAGGTTCTCTTCGGGTCTGGTTTAACGGGACCCATGCTCTCTATTGAGATAGAGAGCATAAGACTGTGTTCAGCTGCATCAGTTGCAACAGCAGGGAGGGTCTTTTATGAGCTTGCCAGTCCTGGGCAGATTATGTGAGTCCTTCTCTCTACTTGAGAGCTAGGTACTTTGCCCCTGGGCTATTGATCGCTTCGGTCGAGCTGGGTTCCTCTCTATTAGCTAAGGGTCGAGCCCTTCGCTCTTTGAGCTCTGTGACAGCGACATCAGATAGTATGGCCGCTTGCTGCCTCCCTGATTAGTTGCCCCTATTCGGTCGAGCCTAGCAGTGCTCCCCTAACCTCGGAGGGTTACCTTTGAGCATGCCGCTCCCAATCGAGTTTCTGAGGCCTCCTCTCATCAGGTCCTATGCTTTTGGAGCTCCATTGAGCAGCAGCCTCAGGTTGTTAGGCCTCTATCTGCCTCCCTGTTAGGCTGCTCTCTTTGTTGGTTGAGCTTAGCAGTGCTCCCCTTACCTTAGAGGGTTACCTTTGAGCACGCCGCTCCCAATTGAGCGTCTGAGGTCTCCTCGCATCGGGTCCTCCGTTCTTTTGAGCCCCATTGAATAGCAGCCTCAGGTTGTTAGGCCTCTCTCCGCCTCCCTGTTAGGCTGCTCTCCTTGTTGAGTGAGCTAGCTGTGCTTCCCTCACCATGGAGGGTCTCTTGCAAGCACACCGCTCACTTCTGAGCATCTGAGTCCCTCTCATTTGAGAGTCGAATCCTTCGCTCTGTGAGCTTCGCTGGGTAGCAGATCAGGACTCTGCCTTCCTCTCAGGCTGCTCTCTTGGTAAGCTCAGCAGTGCTCCCCTCACCCTGGAGGGTTATCTACGAGCACGCTGCTTCCCAGTCAGGCACTGGTGTCCCCCTCTCGGTCTGAGAGCTGGGTGCTACTCCCCTTCTAGTTATGTATGAGCAGATGCTCCGGAGTCTGTTCTGTGACTGCTATGGTTGAGTTGGTGATACTCCCCTCACATGGAGGGTTTTCCTATGAGATACGCCTTTTCAATCCACATGCACTCTGAGCACGTGGCCTCCCGCTGAATTAATTGCCACTCCCTGAGCGCGCGCGCCACAGTCACGTAGGGTTCCTAGGCCTGTCTAAGTGACAGTTTCGGTTACCCCATAGTAACGATGTTTCTAAATCCATGCTATGGTAAGTGTGCACGCTGAGCTTCTGTGCACTTTTTAAAATCCACATTGTGGTAAGTGTGCACGCTAAGCATTCTGCGCACTTTCTAAAATCCTGTATGGTAAGGGTTACGCGCTGTTAACCTCATTCCCTTTCTCTGAGTAGGTTTAGGCCCTGGTTTTCACCTTGGGCTCCACTCAATTTATGTATCCCTGTTGATACATTTCTGAGCAGGGTGTTGCTACCAAAGATCTGTCGAGCCAGTTCTTTGAGCAAGCTCATTAAGAGCCGGCAGTAGCCCCCTGGGTGACAGGCCAGGGTCTGGTTTGTTTTTTTAGACACCTGGCCGTATCCCCTCAAAGGAATCTCTTTCTTGTGATTCCAAGCCTTTGAGCTCTGCCCTAGGCTCGGGCTTCCCAGAGTTCCCTCAGAAGGTAACGTCTCAGGTTACGTATGTAACCATGGTTCCCTGAGAAGGGAACAAGACACTGCGTCCTCTAGTTCCCTTGCCATGCTTCGGACGCAAGCTTCAGACGAAGAAGCGGATGATGTGTTCTCCCGGCGCCCTTTTACACTGTGATCACGCCAGGTAATGACATCATAGGCTGTCACTGGCCAATGTTATTGTCATGTTTAGATGTATGCTACAGACACCGGTCACACTGAAGTATATAGAGATGCTTTCACCTAGATATCACACTATAGTGTAGCAAATTAGCTCAAAAGGGAAATATTTATAATTAATTTTAACTGGTTATAATCAATAATAAATATTTAGATTAGATCTTAGAATTAACTGTAGCAGAATCAATATTCCGTCCACCGAGCAGACAATATAATAATTTATAAATTCAAGGAAAGATTATTTTCCTGGCCAAGGAACAATAGCTTTCCTACTTTTGCAGTACTAGCAGTAGTTTAGCATGTAGCAAAGATCAACATTCAGTGACTCCGAATTGTGAGCAGCACACAGAGACAATTATTGTGAATATAAGGGATTTAATGAATGAAACTATAGCTAACATACAACTAAATTAAGCAAAACACATATATACAGAAAGAAGGAAAGTAAGGAAGAGAGAGAGAAGAGCAAAAGAATGGCAGTATTTCACATCAATTACCCACAACCAAATGAGAATCATCAAAGAATCAAAAATCAACTTAAAGGGCTCAAACTTAAACACGCATCTAAATAGTTGTAAACGGTTACTTGCATTGGCTTTGTTGCTGAACAAGAGTCCTGATGCGTTAAGACAACGGAGGTTCTTGATGAGTTCTTTTAGGAGTGAACTGGAGGTTTTCCTCTGGTTCTTCTAGTTCCTATCCACACCCACCTTCTGGGTGGAATAGCCCATACCAGGCGTGAATTTTTGAGCGGGAGAAGTTTTCTTTGTCTCCCTTTATGGGCCATTTGCATGTTTATGGCCGAATCTGCCCTAGGCTCGGGCTTCCCAGCCCAGCCCTTATCAGGTAAGTTGTTTAGGGTATGCAGCTCAAGCCCTTGGCCGGAGGGGATAATGTCACTGACAGCCTTGGTGTAGTTTTACCCAAAATATAGTACAAATAGTATGATGCATTTCACGATCACATAATCACAATCACATAAAGAGCAGATCATTTTGATAACAAGAAAGAAACATCTAGAAGATATTAAACCAGAGATACATTCATACACCTGAATATCAGTGTTTAGGGCTTAACTAATACAAATAACGACTAATTTTCCTCAGCCTTTGGATCCTCAGCTTGGGTGTTAACCTTGGTCAGGTTCAGCATTGTCTCAGCCTGGGTCCCTCTTTTCCAGTGGCTCTGTTTGAAGGTTCGAGGAAGGGTAGCTGTGCACCTGTTCATGGACCTTTGCACCCCGTTGACTGTTAAACAGGACAAAGGCAAGGCCGAGAGTTAGGGTGTACCCGATTGCTGTGGCAAGGCAAAGTACCGTGTCAGCAGAGGTCCAGGATATGGCGACGGGAAGACAGTGCTTGGAGGGCTGTGTCAACTGGGGTGATGTCAATCATCTGGGACCCCCCTTTCTCAATGCTCAGTTCCAATTCAGGTTCCAGGGTGAGATTGTGGTCCTTGAAGAAGGCTGGAATTTCTACCTCGGATTGGTACTCTTCACTTGGAAGGTGGTACAGCGCCAGGTCACCGAGGTGGAGGATGGCACCTTTGGGCACTTGAATCCACATACTCTGGTTGGGCAGGCTGACACGGGTGGCAATGTCATGCTGGTCATAGGTCAGTGTGACGGTACGGATAGGCGTGTTGACGAGCCACTGATTTCCCACAATCTCTGCTTGTGTTTCTGTGACTTGTGCGCGAGGCTTGGCCTCAGCAGGGCAGAGTGTCTCTCTTTGCATGGGTTGTAACCCGCAGATTCCTTCAGTGTTGTCACGGAGGAAGGGCTTGCTGGGGCACGGCAGAGGTCCAGGATCGAGCGACGGGAAAGGTGTTCTGGACAGGCATCCGAGACAGTGCTTGGAGGGCTGTGTCGATTGGGGTGATGTCAATCGTCTGGGACCCCCCTTTCTCAATGCTCAGTTCCAATTCAGGTTCCATGGTGAGATTGTGGTCCCTGAAGAAGGCTGGCATTTCTACCTCGGATTGGTACTCTTCACTTGGAAGGTGGTACAGCGCCAGGTCACCGAGGTGGAGGATGGCACCTTTGGGCACGTGAATCCACATACTCTGGTTGGGCAGGCTGACGCGGGTGGCAGTGTCGTGCTGGTCATAGGTCAGTGTGGCGGTACGGATGGGCGTGTTGACGAGCCACTGATTTGCCACAATCTCTGCTTGCGTTTCTGTGACTTGTGTGCGAGGCTTGGCCTCAGCGGGGCAGAGTGTTTCTCTTTGCATGGGTTGTAACCCGCAGATTCCTTCAGTGTTGTCTCGAAGGAAGGGCTTGCTGGGGCAGAGATAATGAATGTCTTTGGTCAGGGTACACATGCGCAGGTTTGGGGCCAGGTATAACTGTGGGTTATTGTCGTGGTAGGCTACCATATCTGGTGTGTGTATTCTGATGTGAGTGTTTCCTTGCCAAAATCCAACATTGACAATGTCTTTGAGTCTGTAAATGTTGTCGGATTGAATGATGGGTAGATTCAGAAGAAACGACATCTCGCTCTGCTCGGGGTCAACATGTAGCAGGATGGACCCTCCCAGGGAGTAGGCAAGGTGGGCTTCAAGAGGGTCAGCTGGACCTGGTAGTGACAGAGGATAACACTGTTTGTACTAGGCTCAGGGGCACCAGATACGGAGGAATTCTACCCATGGCTAGGCTGTCAATGGAGGAGCTCACCTCACGGAGCATGTCAGACATCAGTGCGGTGACCAGCTGAGTTTGGGCAACATCATTCTGTATAACAGAGAATAACTGTTTCACGGAGTTCACAGTTTGGTTCAGCAGGACACTGTGGGTGTTCAGAACCACCAGGGTGCCCTTCAATGATTTGCCTATAGTCTGTAGGGTTTGGCTCTGTAGTGTGAGTTGTTCTCTCAGCTGGGGCATCTCAGTCTGGATCTCCCTTACATGTTGCCTCAGGGTAGATAGGCTCACGAAGTTGATGCTGGTCACTCCCAGGTTGAACAGGGTTCCAACAGCAGCAGCAGCTCCGAGTAAGGCCCCCAGGAATCGTTTGTCATGCCTGTTATGTCCGCTTAGCTCTGCTTGAGTGACAGTCATTTTCTGCAACTGAGTGAGCATGTGTTTGATATCGGCTTCTGCGTGAGCGAGGGTATTCTCAGTCCATCGGGCACCTGCCCAACTGTAGTGTGCAGCTGCCTGGGGATAATGTGTCCCGTAGACATTTCGGGGGTCGAGTCGGACGTACACCTTTTGGGTTGGTCACAAGAAGTCCAGGTTGGTCACTCAATGCAATGCCTGATGCTGGACCCAGTGATGTGATATCGGGTTGCGGCTGTCCTCTGTTTGGCTGGAGGTGCTCAATTTTGCCAAAGAAAATAGTTCCAAACAAAGATCACAGCACAGTTTTGCACCTCTGAGCAATTTTACGGTGTTTACTTATTAAATGAATCAGCTTTTTGAATGAATCGGTTGAATAAATGATTCAGTGATTCACTCATTAACACAGTCAAATGCTTTGTTTCTGAATGAATCAGTTCTTTGAATGAATCGGTTGAATCTCAATGACTCACTGATTAACAGTCAAACAGTGAGAGGCTGATGGCTGAATTGTCTGCCCACAGTGCTAGTATGGGGTCAGTTGTTGTGACATCATTCAGCTGTAAGCCCCCCATAACATGTCTTTGTCTTTGTCTTTGGCTAGCTGGAAAGTACAGAGCAGCGACCTTGAACCTCACTCTTGAGCCGAGACGTTCCCGCGGCTGGAGATTTTTCATGAACTTTGTGACCTGGCATTCTGTCTGGGGTGATCTTGGTGACTGAGGAGGCAGAGGTTCTCGCACTTGAGCCCAGATTTTCAGTTGTTTAAAATCTAACAATGGCTCAAAGCAGTCTAGCAGTTCTTTGCCAATGAGGAGAGGGTATGTGTCCAATGGAGAAATGTACACAGGGTGCACTAAGCTCATAGGGCCGATGGTCAGGTGAATTGGAGCTACCTGTTCAAGTTGGACCTCATTTTGGCTGTAGGATTGCACATTCAGCACACACCTCTGATATTTAAGAGTTTGATTCTGTCTCTTGGCTTCACTTGGCCTCCAGTCTCACCTCATTTTCCAATGTGATGGCCAGGTAGAGTTTTTTGGCCACCCCCCTTTCAATTAGGTTCCCCAGGAGTCTTGGCACTGGGGCTTGTGTGGTGACTGGCAAGCAGTCAGAGCTGGTCTCGTGTGGCTTGTCAGGGAGGCAGACCACCAAAACCGCACTTTCGGGTATTTTGGGGTCCTGGCTGGAGGTGTGGTGCGGGATGTTGGCTGGTTCTGGTGGTTCAGCAGTCAGCTGAGGTGGTTGAGTGATGTCATCACTTGGTGATGGGATATCTGGTTCTGTGGTTAACAGTGGATTAGCAGTGATCTGGTTGGGAGGTTCATTTTGAGCGGACTCTGAGTGGGCGTTGGGGTCAGATCTGTCTTACGCCTGTTTCACACATACTCCCGTCTGCAGTGTGTGTGCGTTGCGTATGCGGTACGTCTGTGTTGCGGTAGCAGGAAGTGGCTATTGTGCTTTCACACAGGACACGTTTGTAGTGCGGTACTGACGGCCGTTAGATCCGTGAAATAAATACAATAATGGGTACGTAGTTTCCCATTCTGTGTATTGTAAATGTATATGTTTTCAAATTTATTGAAAAAGCTATATTAGCATTATTACTCTTTATTTTGCATGTAGTGCGTGTTGTTGACAGGAGAAAGGCAGTCGCTTTCTATATGTTGCTAGGGAGATTAAAGAGAAGGACAAGACGAGTGTGGGTTCATCCACTTAACCAGCGTAGAAGACAACTTGGAGCATATTACCACCTTGTGTCCGAACTTCGACTTGACAGTGACTGGCACCTGAAATACTTTAGAATTTCTGCTGAGCAAATGGATCAAGTTCTTGCTCTGGTTGGAGCAGACATCACAAGGCAAACAACAACTTATCGGTTGTCCATCGAACCCAAGCAGAGGCTTGCTGTTACACTGAGGTAAGGACAGAATATGATGCTTTTTATATATATTTTTTTATTAACTTTTTAATTATAATTCTAAACTTTAACATCTTCAACCAGTGTACGTATAACAAACATGAATTTTGTCTATGTATGTGTGTATACACTCACTGGCCACTTTATTAGGTACACCTTGCTAGTACCGGGTTGGACCCCCTTTTGCCTTCAAAACTGCCTTAATTCTTCGTGGCATAGATTCAACAAGGTGTTGGAAACATTCCTCAGAGATTTTGGTCCACAATGGCGACGCATTTTCAACTACAGACTATCTCGGGCACGGATGGTTATCGAGTGTGCCTTTGGAATTTTGTCATCCAGGTGGAGGGTACTCCACACAAAGATGAATGTGATGCCGTCAAATGCTGATTCTGTGGTCACTGCTACCTGCATACTCCACAATTACCTTCTGAATCCTTCCGAGAACCAAAAGTGGCTGGATGAGGCCGAAGAAAGAGGGGAAGTGCTACCACATGTGAGACATATGGGTGGCAATAGGGGATGCAGGGAAGCCTATGATGTATGGGAGAGACTTTGTACATTTTCAACTCCCCAGAAGGCCGAGTGTCCTGGCAAGAACAGATGATCTAAGACTATCTGTTAACCTTCTCCACCGATATGAAAGTACAACTGTATTGAATGTAGAGGACAATTTGAGTTGTAAATAGTTACCTTTTTTGGTGAAAAAATAAAGAAAACAAAAACACATTAGTAAATTTTTGAAAGTAAGAGAAAATAAATTAAAAAATAAATAAACAGAATGTAACCACCTCTTGACTCCTTTTTTTTGCTGATGTAAGAGTACTCTAGTTTACTGTTTTATTGGTTTTATACATCATGTAAAAATGTATCGATTCAGATGGTGTTCTTTATTAATTGCTGTAAGAGCACTTCACTTGTCTACACCGAGTTATATTTTTCCAGTAATGTAGAAAAGGCTGGCTGTAGTGACAAAAGGTCCACACAGCCACTGAGTGTTAATACCAAGATTTTCTACACAATTTAACATGTTAATAAGTATGTCTATCTATTGCTATGCCTAATAATAATTACATATTAGCATTGAGATGTAAACAATATATATTCAGATATGCATTCATATAGTCAGAATTTTAAAATATATTTACTTATATCTACTTTATATATTCTCAATTATAAAGTTATGTACTGAAGATGTATAATTACACATTGCTATTTAGGCTACACTCGGACTTTATAATGATGTCATAATTATAATAATACAATTAAAACAAACTTTTTCAGTTTTGCATCTCTATGTACATATTTTCTGCAAATTCTGCCCTTCGTAAATGACGTACTAATTATAAATAAAAAAATAATAATGTAACATAGGCTATTTCATGTACAAATGTAAATACACACAGCTGCGAATGGCATGAAGGTGTCACTCACGACCAACACAACATTTTTAAATAGTAGTATTCACGAACAACATATTAGGCCCTACAGCGATAATAACTTTTTTCCCCGTTTAAACAAAATAAATATATAGCGTAATGTTATAGTCTAGGCTTATCTGCTGAACCAAGTTTAAACATGTAAACACGTCACTTCATAAAATAAACATTTTAAAACTTACCATCGACACCAACATCCGAGGAAACTGCTTCCCATGCCTTTTCCTTGGCATTCAAATCTTTGTACAAGACATTCTGTGGGTCATAAAGTATTTTGTATTTTTCCACCTCCACGATGAGACGAGTGTCATCCATGTCACTTTTTATGTTAATTAGCCTGTCACGTGATTGCCGGCTGAGATACAAGTCTCTCTCCCCTCTCCCTCCCCCTCCAAATATATATGTAATGTATTTCATGAGGGGAAAAAGAAATTATATCAAATGTACTTTTGCAATTTTTGGGACTATATTTTTTATTTTATTATTTTTTTCTTCACATTTAGGAACTATATAACATATTACATTTTAATTAGGCATATAAAACAAAAACACATTAGTAAATTTTTGAAAGTAAGAGAAAATAAATTAAAAAATAAATAAACAGAATGTAACCACCTCTTGACTCCTTTTTTTTGCTGATGTAAGAGTACTCTAGTTTACTGTTTTATTGGTTTTATACATCATGTAAAAATGTATCGATTCAGATGGTGTTCTTTATTAATTGCTGTAAGAGCACTTCACTTGTCTACACCGAGTTATATTTTTCCAGTAATGTAGAAAAGGCTGGCTGTAGTGACAAAAGGTCCACACAGCCACTGAGTGTTAATACCAAGATTTTCTACACAATTTAACATGTTAATAAGTATGTCTATCTATTGCTATGCCTAATAATAATTACATATTAGCATTGAGATGTAAACAATATATATTCAGATATGCATTCATATAGTCAGAATTTTAAAATATATTTACTTATATCTACTTTATATATTCTCAATTATAAAGTTATGTACTGAAGATGTATAATTACACATTGCTATTTAGGCTACACTCGGACTTTATAATGATGTCATAATTATAATAATACAATTAAAACAAACTTTTTCAGTTTTGCATCTATATGTACATATTTTCTGCAAATTCTGCCCTTCGTAAATGACGTACTAATTATAAATAAAAAAATAATAATGTAACATAGGCTATTTCATGTACAAATGTAAATACACACAGCTGCGAATGGCATGAAGGTGTCACTCACGACCAACACAACATTTTTAAATAGTAGTATTCACGAACAACATATTAGGCCCTACAGCGATAATAACTTTTTTCCCCGTTTAAACAAAATAAATATATAGCGTAATGTTATAGTCTAGGCTTATCTGCTGAACCAAGTTTAAACATGTAAACACGTCACTTCATAAAATAAACATTTTAAAACTTACCATCGACACCAACATCCGAGGAAACTGCTTCCCATGCCTTTTCCTTGGCATTCAAATCTTTGTACAAGACATTCTGTGGGTCATAAAGTATTTTGTATTTTTCCACCTCCACGATGAGACAAGTGTCATCCACGTCACTTTTTCCTCCCTTGTGGTTCTTTTTCTGGAGAAGTTCCTTTAAAAGTCTCATGATCT